AGTTCGATGGTTTGTTGAATAGCATCGAGCCATTTATAAGATTAAGGTAGTAAATTAAAAATAAACAAAGGTACTAACAATGTCTCTAATATGAAAAAAATGCTGATGACTTATGGTAAAGTAATATAAAATAGTTGTTCGAAAAGAAAAACGAACAACGGATGTTTTGAAGGTGTTACGAAGATGACTGATAAACGTATTATTGTGGCGGGTATTCGCTAGGGGCATTTATTAGACTTTACACCAACGCGTGTGTGTAACGGTCCGGTTTACATTGAAGCGGTGGCTGAGAAGGAGCTGACACGACCACGGGGTGTCAAACGGATGACAACGCCGTGGTCGTGTCAAAATGTATACATTTTTAATTTTAAAAAATATTAAATTTTTTTTGATTTTATAAACAATTGTTAATATCAATAATATTAAGTTTATTGTAAAAATAAATTGTTTCAAAGGGTATTTTTTAAGTGTAACTTTTGAAAGTTAAATGGAGAATATTCTAAATAAAATGTTGACAGGTCGATATTTAGAATTGTATTATTATTACTTTTTGAGATATTAGCAATTATCTATTCAATTAATAAAATAAGAATTCTTCTACGTTGCGCAACCTGCTCGCCTATTACTGAAAGTTATATTACAATACTAGTTATCGCCTTGTCAGAATTTTATTTATACCATTCACCATTTAATAGTAAAAAAATAATAATAAATTACCATTTAAATTTCGAAAGTTACCACTAAAATCTACCCATAGGAATGTTTTTATCTTACAATAAACTTGATATTCACAATGGCATATAAATAAATTCAATTTTAAAATGTATACATTTTCATGGAAAAATTATTATTTAAAATGGGGGAATAGTATACTTCATAAATTACAGTGTATATTCTTTTAATTCAAACATTGTCGTTAAATTCACTTCTCCCTTTCTTTATTTTTTAAACAAAACATTGTTTACTGTGGTTTTTATTTAAAACACTTTATAAGTTACTTCATTAACTTCTTTTTTATCTATTTAAAGTTAGATTAAAGAATATTCTAATAATGAATTTTATATGAAAATGTTGAATTCAAAAGGTCGAAACTTGTACTCGTTATTTTCTTTGGAAGTAAAAATATGAATATGACCCTGGATAAATACTAATATTTCTTACAATGTGGTTATTCTTGTACTTATCCTTATTTTGTAAATCTTATAAGATTTACAAAATTATAAATTTTTATTTATAACTTATAATTTACTAATAGTAAGTTTGTCCGTATAGTTCATTAAAAATACACTGTAAAACTTGATAAATTTCAGTTGAAGAACCAGCCTTCGTTCTTAAACATGTAAACGAAACTTTTTAATGTGTGCTCTCGAAATATTTGCTAGGTTATAAATAATATAAATATTCGGGAATTATGAATTAATTACTATGCATTTAAATAGAGCATTGAATAAGATTTAACATAGTTAAAATAAAAAATTATGATTTTTATAATCGAACTTTAAAGAATTTTAGACAAATTTATATTTAGCACGTTTTTCCAGAGCACTACCTATAGAAGGGATGATATAATATGATAGGTAGACAACACGTGGCAACACAAAAACGTCACAAATTTAAGCCAAAATCTTTTAACTGTGAACTATTTTCGCAGTTACCGGATGAAGAAAAACGTACCAGATTCTCAGGATCCTTTGATTATTGGCTTTATTGCTTCAGTTTAACAGGAAGTCTTGCTAATATGACCAGATTTCCTTATTTGGTGTATACATACAATGGATGTAATACAAATTAAAAATATTTTGTCCTATTTAGTAATAAAATCCTTTAATAATTAAATTTTAGACAATAAACACCAAGGTAACATACAAAAAATGTGTAACTTTTAAAAATAAACTTCATTTATACTTTTAAAATGCAATTGTTAAAACTAAAAATTAAAAAGTTTTACTAATGTAATATATTTTTTGAAAGAATTTAAATTTAAATTGATAAATGAATTGCTATGCAAAGTTTAACTTAAAAATAGGGATGGTATGGCCTAGTCGGTAACAAGGCAGTGTTTGACGCGCACAGCCTCGGGTTCAAAACCGATCTTGGGCGGCTTCATCTCTTCACCAGCGACGAACGAACCACCCATCCTGGCGTATCAAATGTTAAGAAAACCATCCTTTTGGAAAATCGCTATGGCATTTAATGGACTTAAAGAGCTAGAAAAAAATCAAATAAAAGAAAAAATTAGACTTAAATAATATATTAAAAATATAGCTTTAATTATTTTTGGAAATAGATTTGAATTAATATTTATATTTTCGTCGTTTGTTCTTAGGTTCCTTTATAGTTCAATTTTTGATATTAACTGTGATAGCCGGTATTCCGTGGTGTTTTATGGAGACAGCTTTAGGCCAATTTAGTGGAAGGGGTCCAACAGCGATTGGCGATATGGTTCCAGCTGGAAAAGGTTCACAACCCAATCAGTGTTAATAAAAAAATATATCAATATAAGTGTTTAACATAATTTTTTAATCGCATCAATTTTTGCACACTTATTACAGGTATAGCATTAGCCATGGGATATGTATGCCTGTTAAATGTTATCTGCTATAGTCCTATTCAGTCAAGATGTTTAATTTATATGTTTAAATCATTTTCAAGTGAACTACCATGGTCTGAGTGTGTTAATAAAACAGTTTGCATGGATGAATCTCGAAATGTAACGGACAATTTTACAAAATCTTCGGGCGTAGAGCTAAGATTGCCTGTAGAGAATTATTACATGTAGGGAATATTTGAATAATTCTTTATATTTACCATCATAAGTATAGTTTGAAAAGGTTGGAACTATATTGAGTGCCTCATACTATAGTATATATAGTATGAGATTTTCTATATACATCATATTTTATAAAATTGAATAATTTACTTAGAGCGGTGATTCTTCTCTCTTTAAAAATAAATTTGAATAGTGGAAGATATTAATGTATCTATAGCTTAATTCTCCACGATCACCATACAAACTACGCTAATGTTGATTATCACTAATAGTATGTCTTGATCATGGAATATAATTCAAAAATCAAATAAATTTATTTTATAAGATATCAAAAATTATCGATATCTTTAAATACTAGTGTTTAATGAGTGTTAAATTTATTTTAAGTTTAACACTGTAATTTTGTATGGTATAATCAGAAAAATTATTATGAAACACTAATTAAGTCGTTGGTGAACATAAAGTTATTAATTTTTAAATATTAATACCCACAAATAATTGATGAACTTGAAAAAGTGTTTGAATATTTTTAACGGTATCATTACACAGCTCCACAAAAAAATCGAATGAAAAGTGCTAGTAAACAGACCATGTTTGCGGGGTCGCTGAATACGAATCAGAGGTTTTTTTGACGCCATCACGTCATGGTTTTTCATAACCTCAAAAAATGTGCTTAAGAACCAAGTTATTCATTAGGAAAAAAGATAGGAAAATTTGTAACTTAAATTTACTGTGCGCAGAGCCTTAATCTGTAAAAAAGCCTAACCATACTTATACTAGCCTGGCCTAACCTGACTTAACCAAACCTAACCAAAAAAAATCGGAAGAAAAGTGCGAATATACAGACCATGTTTACTTTATGTTTGTGGGGTTACTGAATCTGAATCTCAATTTTGTTTGACGCTGCCACATCATGGTTCTTTATAACCTCGAACTCAACTATATCAACAGGGCAATTTTTATACTAATACCACTGCCCTTACCTAGTATAGTATTAGCACTGAAGTATTGTGTGGTCATATTACTATTGTGGTTATATTATGCCAAAAGTACTCTCAGCGTCAAGTCAGTCTAAATGATTTTAGGCTTTTTACAGGTTAAGTCTCTGTGCACAGTATATTTAGGTTAAACATTTTTTTGACTTATTTCCTAATGAATAAGTTGGTTTTCAAGCACATTTTTTTGTTATGAAAAACCATGACGTGATGGCGTCGAACAAACCTTAGATTCGAATTCAGCGACCCCACAAACATAAAGTAAATATGGTCTGTTTACTAGCACTTTTCATTCGATTTTTTTTTTTTGTGGTACTGTGTTATTATTTAACGGGATTATTGATTGTTTTTAACATAATTTTCTTAGAAATGTTATTTTGAACATGGATAAAAGCGTTTTAATTGATGGCCTTGGTGATTTTCAGTACCCATTACTGTTGTGTCTTGCCATTTCATGGCTTATAAATTATTGCTTGCTCATCAGTATTGATAACTATATGAGATATGTAAGGGAAAATTAAATAAATTGCATAAATTTGTGTACAATTTTCGTAAAATTTTACTTGTTTTAGGTACAAATATTTGGATCTGTTGCACCATATATTTTTCTGATATCCTTACTAGCTATAATATTAGTACAAGAAGATGCTTTAATTGGAGTTAAAACTCTATTTGATCCATCGTCTATAGATTTATTAGACTTACATGTACGCATAGTAAATATTTTAAATACTCAGAGAAAGAAACGTAATAACGTTATAATTATNGCTTTAATTGGAGTTAAAACTCTATTTGATCCATCGTCTATAGATTTATTAGACTTACATGTACGCATAGTAAATATTTTAAATACTCAGAGAAAGAAACGTAATAACGTTATAATTATATCCTCTTAAACAAAAACCGAAAATATGCGATATAAATAAATGTAAAATATTGTTAAGCATAATAAAACTTGTTAAGTAATATACTTCTTATTTAAAAAAAAATAGATTATATTTTAAAAAAATTTAACATATGAAAAAATTAATCATTTATCCAAATTAAAAACTGCTTATGGTAGTGAATTATGTGTAATTTTAAGTAGAAACCATATTTTTTTTATATTATCTTGTTACATTGAAGGGTTGGCGAAGAGCAGCAGAACAAGTCTTTTATTCACTAGATGTTGGCACTGGTCATTTAATACTTTATGGTAAAAAATGTAAATTTCGGAACAATACAATGGATAATATATTGATTGTAACTTTATTGGATGTAGTATGTTGTATATCAGCAAGTGTAATTATTTACAGTGTAATTCAAAAATTAGCGATTGACTTCCATGTGCTTCTTCAATTTGTATTTGTATCAGGTACACGATTAGGATACTTGTATAATAAATGAATTCGAAATGTTAATACAAATTTTAAAATGTCAGGTCCTGGTATGTTTTTTCTTGTTGTGGCTCATACAGTAAAAGGTTTACCTTATCCGAATTTTTTCAACTTTCTTGCTTTTTTTATATTGTTTGTACTTTCGATACTTACTCAGGTTAGTCACAGGTTAAGCATTAAATTAATTTTTTCCGTAAAATAAAATTTGTTTAAAACATTATATGTTAAAAAAAATATGCTGATATATCCATAATGTAAAAATTACAATTGAAACAATACTTCTATCTAACAATAAATTCAGGTTAACTTGTATTATAAATTTTATTTATGTTTGTAGATGTCATTCTTACATCCAGTTCACTATTTATTGAATGAATATTTCGGACAAAGGAAATATACTAAACTTTACTATCCCTTATACATCTGTTGTACAATGTTTATATTATCTTTGATGACTGTAACTCGAGTAAATCACATTTAATCAACAAAATAATTTCATTAAAATGTCTTATAATAAAAATATTTATAAAATGTTTTCTTTTTTACAACTTAATAAAATAATTTTCAGTAAAAATAAAATATATAATTTTTTTAAATTAGGGCGGAGACGCACTAATTTCCTTATTAGACGACATAGGAGCTGCTATGGGAATACTCATGATTACTATTTCCGAAGCAGTGTTTGTATTTGCAATTTATGGTTTAAACGAATTTTTTGCAGATCTTGCTTTTATGACAGATAATCCGCCAACGATGATTATGAAAATTTTCTTTGTTGCTGGTCCAATAATCATAATAGTATTCACATACATTAATATCAAATTTTCATGAGTAATTTTTATTTATTTTAATTTAATTATTTTCTAGCACATTTTACTTGCAAGTTTTTTTCATTGGAATCCACCGACATTTCAGAATGTAACATATCCAATCACGTTCTACTCATTAGCTTGGGTACTTGCTGATATAACGTTTGTAATTATAATCGGCGCGGCAATTTGGACAATCATTGAATTTATATCAAAAGGAGTAATAAATTTCTGTTAGAATTAAAAAATTGAATACCTTAATAAATTGATACAGAACAAAAATAATATATACAGGTGAGTCACGAAGACTTGACAAATTCAATAACTTCTAATCCAATAATTCAAAATTTTTTAAATTTATTAAAAAAAATTAAAATTTACGAAAAATCAAAAAAAAAAATATATAGAGTAGATTTTGACAAAAAATTTGGTAAAAAATATTATTTTTTCAAAAATTAACATAACTGAAGAATTAAAAATATTTTAATATAGAATAAAATATTGCTAAAAACGAAATAAAATAAAATCTTAAAATCATTATATTTAATCAATAACAAGATATTTTCATAATTTTACGTTCCCTAAATTAAATTATCATTCACTTACAATAAATTAATACCATCTTATTGTAATAAACCAAAAATAAAAATAAAGAACATAAAAAGATAAAAACATAAAAACATAAAAATAAAAAGATAGAAAGACAAAAAAAAATAAATAATTATAAAAAAAAAACCAACACAGTGGGGTCGCGGCACAGTGGTGACGTGGCATAGTTGGATCAAGTATAATGATATTTGACAGTGATTAAAATCACTATCAAAAGAAAAACGCTTCGATACAAATCTTTAGATAGTGTTTAATTTTAAAATAATTTTTGTCCTTTTATAAAAGCTTATGTTTTTATTTATATGACTTAAACATAAAATTTGTAAGTCAAGAACTGTAGTCGATTGGATAGAATGATACATCATACCCTCACTGTTTATGATTCGATACTCTTATGAATACATGGTTTTTTTAATATTAGCACTTTTGATGGCTATACCTGAAGTAGAAGGAATATCAATGCTTGCAGATTTGCGTTTTCTTTTTCTATTCATAGCTGCTGTATCTTTTTCATTAATTCTTCTTTTCTTTTAATACCTACCATACAGCCTGTTCGTTATATTTTGCGCTGTTTGATTAAAAATCCTCATCGTACTTAATAAGTATTAATGCATCTCTATGTGCAATATCGAACAAATCATTTAAAGAATCACTAAATTCAGTTTGCTGTTTATTCAAACTTTCACTTTTTCTATTAATAGTTTTGGAGTGTGATTGCCTCACCTCATAAAGTTTTTGTAGTTTCAATTTACATTTATGTAGTTCTTGTGTAGGAATTATTGCTTTTTTCCAGTATATAACACATACTTCAATAACCAATGATGCACTGACATTAAAGTTAAGTTTGGCAATTCTCATATTATAGAATAAAACACGTAAACAGTCACCATTCGAAGGTAAATTACTTCCGGTTTTTTGGTGTTAAAAAATCCAACAAGAAAATTTTTTTAGCGAAGTAAAGACATATTTAACACAATTAAAAAATTAATACTTATTATAATATAAAAAAATCAGTAATCAATGAAAATATAATTTATAGTTCTACTGTAAGTAACAGCCTGGTTAGGTTTGATCTAAATATTTATAATTTTATTACACTTAAAATTAAAAACCCAGCACAGGGGGGTTGCGGCACAGTGGTGACGTGGCATACTTGAATCAAGTATAATAATATCTGACAGTGATTAAAATCACTATCAAAAAAAACGCATCGATGCAAATCTTTAGATAGTGTTTAATTTTAAAAAATTGGTATATTATTCCAAAAGCTTCATAAACTGCTAGTTCCTTATTAATATCCTGATTAAGATAAAGTATGTCGAATAAAAAAGGGATTATTAAAAAATATTATTTCTCATAAAAAAATTGTATTGATCCATATATTTTTCAAAAAGTTATAGCATAATAAAGTTAAAAATGTAAAAAAAAACATTGAGAATTTTCAAACAAAAATAGCATTCGGTAGCCATTTTCATCACGAAGACAAGTCCAGAGCTCAAACTTTGTTTTTCATAATAAAGTATATTACATTATCTTTAATTTAAGATATATATAAAAGTGTCATACCTGTCGGAACATTTTCAAAAGTTAAGTTGAAAAAGTTAATTTTATGTGAAAAAGTTGTCATTTTAAATCCCCCCTTTGGGCAGGTTAAGTGTCAGATTTACAAAAAAAATATACCAAATGATAGGTAAAGACATCAAGCATCTATAAAAAAAAATTATATTGATTTGTTCATTTTTAAGAAAGTTATGGCAGTTTTTAGTAAAAAAAATTCAAAAAAATTTCGAAAATTAGCGATCTATAAAATTGTAATTTTTTTAGAGATTTCCTTCATTTACGGGGAACGAGGGAAATTTTTTCAATTTTTGGGGATAATGTTTTCGACTAAATACGATTTGTGATCTTTTGATGTATCGTTGAAAGAAATTGGTAGTATGAGAGCTGAGAAAAAATGATAACAGACACAAAAAAAAATACATCATAGTAAAATTAATTTCTTCTCAGGTTCGCATCGAAACTAAAATGTTAGAATAGATTAGAATATAAAGAAATATAAATCAGAATAACAGAATATAATATAATAGAAATAGAATTAATTTGATCGGGGAATTGTTTGGAATATTAAATTATTTGAATTTATATCATTTTATTTAATCTACCAATTCTCTCATTAATTATTTATTCCTCTTATTTAATTTTTATTAATGGTTTATTACGCAATGGATTGTTGGAAGTTGGAAAGCATAGGTTAAATTGTACTTACCTTACGTCCTATATAATGCATTAATATTTCTATTAATCCAATGTTGATTTTGGTATTAAATGATCTACGAATACGATTTACACTATACGTCATATAGTCAATATAATTACTTACAAAAACGATTCAAATTTTAAATAATATGATTTAACTACACAAAGTGTATGACTGATCTTACTTGTAAAAGATTCTAAACACTCTATATTTTATTAGAAATATAATTATAATCTGTTCTTATTATATTTTTTACATTTGTTGAAAGAGTATTTTTTTTTTTGAGAGAGTATATTTTATTGAGAGATCGACAACAATATTTCTTAAATCTTCCTATGGCCTGGCCAAAACAAGATTTAAAAATATTTATTTCTATGTAACGCTAGCGTCTTGAAAAAATATTTTAAGTTTAAATTAATTAAAAAATCGACGAAGTCCCGGAGAGTGAAATCTTGAGTAGAGTGTCGTAGATTTTGTGTACTTTAAAATCGTTGAAAGAACTGATTTATACGGGAAAAAATGACTTTTTATAGTATGAAGGGGGTAGCCCTACCNTAGTTTTGGAGTGTGATTGCCTCACCTCATAAAGTTTTTGTAGTTTCAATTTACATTTATGTAGTTCTTGTGTAGGAATTATTGCTTTTTTCCAGTATATAACACATACTTCAATAACCAATGATGCACTGACATTAAAGTTAAGTTTGGCAATTCTCATATTATAGAATAAAACACGTAAACAGTCACCATTCGAAGGTAAATTACTTCCGGTTTTTTGGTGTTAAAAAATCCAACAAGAAAATTTTTTTAGCGAAGTAAAGACATATTTAACACAATTAAAAAATTAATACTTATTATAATATAAAAAAATCAGTAATCAATGAAAATATAATTTATAGTTCTACTGTAAGTAACAGCCTGGTTAGGTTTGATCTAAATATTTATAATTTTATTACACTTAAAATTAAAAACCCAGCACAGGGGGGTTGCGGCACAGTGGTGACGTGGCATACTTGAATCAAGTATAATAATATCTGACAGTGATTAAAATCACTATCAAAAAAAACGCATCGATGCAAATCTTTAGATAGTGTTTAATTTTAAAAAATTGGTATATTATTCCAAAAGCTTCATAAACTGCTAGTTCCTTATTAATATCCTGATTAAGATAAAGTATGTCGAATAAAAAAGGGATTATTAAAAAATATTATTTCTCATAAAAAAATTGTATTGATCCATATATTTTTCAAAAAGTTATAGCATAATAAAGTTAAAAATGTAAAAAAAAACATTGAGAATTTTCAAACAAAAATAGCATTCGGTAGCCATATATCTATAAATTTTTTTTAATAAATTAAAAAATATGCAATTTTATGTTATTTGTATAGTCTTAAAGTATAAAAAGTAAAATTAAAAATTAACGTAAAATAATAATTGGATCAAAAGTTATTAAATTTGTCATATTTTCGTCACTTATTCTGTGTATAAATGTATGTTTTTACGTTATTTGCTGATATCGCGTACTGTTACCAGTTGATAATGTTAAAACATAATGTTTATTTCTGTCCTTAAGTGGACTAATTTTTGATACCTTAGAAAATTCGTGAAAAAATTCAAAGTTCAACAAAACGTAACTACTGAATTAAAATTAAAAGAGTTTTTGGTATCAAAATTTTTCTCTAACTTATCTACCTACTTATCTAACTTATCGTATGTTCAAATCTTAAAAAAAATTTTAATAAAAAAATAAATTTTTAAAATATTTTTTGTATTTACGAAAAATAACATAAAAAAACATTTTAGATATAGTTTTATATTGTAAAAATTGATAAAAAAAAAGTATAAAATGTTATGTACATTATAAGTTGTCATTATAATTATGTGTTGTCAGTTAGATCTATTGCACTCTGTATACTTTTGGATCATAAATTCATGTCATAGACTTCTTGAAAATTTAAAAATGTTTTTATTATATATTTAATTATATTAAACACGAATTTTTAAAAAAAAGTGGGGGTGTTTAATTGATGAACTTTGATAAGTCAAATAGAAACGTATACTTTTTAAATGCAATGTTTATTTTGTAAAAAAAAATTGTTTTTAAGCTACAAACTGTAGCCTACAGTATTTTAATTATCATAAAAATTGTGTATTTTTTATTCAACTAATCATATTTACTATACATTTTAAAATAACACTACAAAGTTCATTCCCTTTTTAATTGGCTTTCTCATTCAAAGGGCTGTACCTCAAAAACTGTACTATAAAACACATTTTTTTATCAATTATAAATAAATTTTAATAATAATAATTTTGGTAATCCTCTTTATTTTTCTATCTTTTATACTTAAAGAGTCAATTATAAAAAACTTGAAATGAACAATATTTACAAAATGTAACTGTTATCAAGCGTTTTTGATTTTTACAAACAACTATTATCTACGAGAAAAATTCATGTGGTCACTTCGAAAATAACATGTACCCTACACCCTGTTTATAAGAAACATAAATATAATTAAATAACTTTTAATATAGATAAATTAATATAAATTATGTTATATTTTGGCGAAAATTCATACATTATTTCATCAACTCTCAAAACACTTCAAAACAATCATATAATTTCATAGCACATCCCTAATAAAAAAGGAAATACATTTTTATAATTTTTAATACGCAAATTTTAGTATATTATTTTATAATTATCACACAAATTGGTAAAGTTTTATATACTACTTTTTTCACTGGAGGTGACAGTCTCTAATATTTTTTATAATAAAGATTAATTAGAATTTTTCTGTGAATAATATAGAATATACGAGGTGCTTTTGAACCTACTGAAAATTGGGTACCTGATCTTATGTATTCGTTGCAAAACAAATCTTTACGAAACATGATGAATACTAGAAATCATGACAAAGTTAAAGAAGACGACCCAATTATATTTGAATTCGGAAAACCTAAAATGTCCATGAGATTTGATATAGCTACTCAAACGAATGATTCAGGTAATTTTATAAGATATATTCTTATTTTAGACAAAGAAAGAAAAAAAGGATAAGTGCTCCAATAATACTACTTAAAAAATTTCATACTAATATGTTAACATAGAGTAAGCACTGATTATAATTACAGTTGGGTGTCGGGAATATGAAGCAATTCATAGACGTAGCTTAATATAATTGTCTGTAAAATCTAGTCATTTGAACATTACAATATGTAATTTACACAACTATATTATAGTCCCATATACTCTATAGATATAATATTTATTAAATAAATTTAATGAGAATTGGAATGTTTTCGCTTGACATTACTTTATCTCCCTACCCAAATCGCAATTTATTTGTGTAAGCTTTGTAAGTGTCTATGTATAGTAGTTCCCACATTTTCTAAGCTAACTTCATCTATGGTTAGATTTATGCGCGTAGAAACGAAAAAATTAAGTATTATGAGCAGGGATTCGGAACGGAGCAAATTTTGTTCCGTTCCAATATTTGCTCCGGAACGGAACTTTGCCTAAAAATCGTTCCGACCATTTGCTCCGGAACAGAATGCTAGCTACAAATTGTTTCGCAAAAATGCTTTGGAATGTTCCTATTTATTTTCACCCCTCTGATATTTATTAATCACATTTAAATTATTATTATATTTTTTTTTATATTAATCTACTATTAAATTTTTATCTTTTATATAGAGGTGAGCCTCATACGGATTCAGATCTTTGTACTTAAGAGACTTAACTGGAGAGCGTTATATTCAGCCTATTCAATTATTTTAACTTATTGCATTGCTATAACTAGATTTATTTTAGCAGTCGCTTTTCTGAATTTATAAAAACAATATTATTATTGACGAGTGATGGAACTTATATTTTAATTTTACCGTGTCATTTTTACCATAGAGTTACTCTATGATTTTTACACGTAAATAACAATGCAAATACAATAAAAATATCTACTGATCAGAAATTTGCAGGAAGTTGATTTTTTTGTAACATTAGAAAGTAAACTTGTCACGAATAAGAGTTGACAGCATACATTCTATTCGAGGGCATCTAGACGGATTATCCGTCCTTTTAGTAGCTGATTTTTTAATAGACAATAAAAATAATTTAAATTTAAATAATTAATTCCCCAACAATTTCAATTATATCCAATGTTTCAACTGACCAGAACAAATTTTACTAATACAGGGGGTGGACAAAATAATATGAACACCATGCAATATAGTTACATATTGTTGCAATTTGGCTACACTGTATAATTTTTGGATAACATGGCGTAAAATTAGTATATTATTACAATATAGTAGTTATTTATAACATATTAGTGTATAACACATGTTATACAACGAACATTAAAATAAATTTAAAATAAAATACGTGACCTCTCGGACTTCCAAAGAGGGCAAATAGTGGGTGCTCGATTAGCGGTAGCGTCTATAACGGAGACATCTAAACTGTTGAACGTGTCAAGTGGGACAGTATCCACAGTAATGACAGCATACACGAAATACGGAAAAACATCATCGGCGAAAAGTAATAGTGGGCGAAATCCAAAGTTGACATTAAAACGGATTGTAACAAGACAACATAAAACTACCGCGGCTAAAGTTACAGCAGAACTTATAGCTCATTTGGGTAATACTGAATTAATTCCGCGAAGGATTGAAGCGGTTTAAAAAGCAAATGGAGGCCCAACATCTTATTAATAAATAAATATTGTATATATGTCAGGTGTTCATATTATTTTGTCCACCCCCTGTAGTTCCGTTCCGGAGCAAATGGCCGGAACGATTTTTACTAATAGTTCCGTTCCGGAGCAAATAGTCGGAACGGATTTTACTAATAGTTCCGTTCCGGAACAAATGGTCGGAACGATTTTTAGGAAGAGTTCCGTTCCGGAGCAAACTCGGAACGGAACGAAATTTCACGTTCAGGAGCAATATTTTTGTTCCGTTCCGAATCCCTGATTATGAGAATATTTTATGATTTTAACTAATAGTCTCAAATTTTTGAATTGATACAGAAATTTTATATCTAATAAATTAATAAAGTTATATTAAAAATTCAAATATTTTATTTAATTCAAAATTAGTTCCCATTTGAAAAACAAAGATAACACCCTTACAAGTCATAAGGGATGAATTTGAAAAATATTACACATCTAATAATTTAAGAATAACATGTAATTAAAGTTAACCAAATAACAAAAATGTTAAAATTATTTTTAGTCTGTAAGTAATTGAGTGAATTATGATAAAAAAAAACCCAGTACAGGGGGGTCGCGGCACAGTGATGATGTGGCATAGTTGGCTCAAGTATAATGATATTGGACAGTGATTAAAATCACTATCAAAAAAAAAACGCTTCGATGCAAATCTTTAGATAGTGTTTAATTTTAAAAAATTGGTGGATTATTCCAAAAGCTACATGATCTGCTTTTTCCTTATTTATATCCTGAATAAAATAAAGTATGTCGAATGACTAGGGATATAAATATGGTTTCTCATAAAAAAATTGTGTTGATCCATACACTTTTCAATAAGTTATAGCATTATAAAGTTAAAAATGTAAAATATAAAGTCGAGAATTTTCACACAAATAAATATAGTTTAAAAAAAAAAAAAACACCCAGCACAGGGGGGTCGCGGCACAGTTGTGACGTGGTATAGTTGGATCAAGTATAATGATATCTGACAGTGATTAAAATCACTATCAAAAATAAACGCTTCGATGCAAATCTTTAGATACTGTTTTATTTTAAAAAATTGGTGGACTATTCCAAAAGCTACATGATCTGCTAGTTCCTTATTAATATCTTGATTAAGATAAAGTATGTCGAATGAAAAAGGGATTATTAAAAAATATTATTTCTCATAAAAAAATAATGTTGATCCATACACTTTTCAATATGTCATAGCATTATAAAGTTAAAAATTTAAAAAATAAAATCGAGAATTTTCACACAATAATAGCATTCGGTAGCGATTTTCACCGTGAAGATAAAATAAAGTCCGACATTTTTTTTTGCATAATAAAGTATATTACATTAGCTTTAATTTAAGATATATATAAAAGTGTCAGACCTTCCGGAACACTTTCAAAAGTTAAGTTGAAAAAGTTCTACTTTCTATATGCATTTTTTATATTTGAAGCCCCCCCATATATAGGGAAATAGTCTGATTTAAAAAAAAAGTATATCCAATGAAAGATGTATATAAATACTACTTCTCATGAAAAAATTGTATTGATCCATACATTTTTTAAAAAGTTATAGCACTTTAAAGTAAAAAATGTAAATTATAAAATCGAAAATTTTCACACAAAAATAGCATTCGGTAGCCGTTTTCACCATGAAGACAAGTCCAGAGGTCAAATTTTTTTTTTTCAAATTAAAGTATATTACATTAGCTTTAATTTAAGATATATATAAAAGTGTCAGACCTTCCGGAACATTTTCAAAAGTTAAGTTGAAAAAGTGGTAATTTTGAATCCCCCCTGTGGGCAGGTATCCCCCCCTGTGGGCAG